CCGTGCATTTCAACGGCGCGCGCATTCGAGAATTCGTAACTTTTGCCGTGGTGGTCAAGCCCCTGTAGCTTGTCGCTTGACCTTGTTTCAAGTGGGGTGAGGGGTGGGGCAAACAGAAACTCAGGTGGAGGGGCTGTTTGACACGGTGTAAAAAAAAACATTTTAAATGCTAAAATAGATCGAGTACGACGATACGATCTGCCTTTGTCTCGCGTGCATTCTGCTCCGGCTCTGACCCCTGTGTGTGCATGCGCGTGTCTTTATGAGGTAAGGCTGCGAATGCCCGTTGGCTTTAACCAGTGGTGCTTAACCCGAGGTGCACGCACCCCCTGGGGGTTACGAGATGCCCTTTCGGGGGGTGCGAGACGTGGCCAGATTTCTCTAGAAGGTCAATAATCGAAAACACAAATTAAGCACCGACGCGTAAGTACAGCTACTTTGTTACATCAAACTCTGTGTATTTAATAACTTTGCACATTTGTTTACGATTGAAAACCAAAGGAAGGGGGAGAGGGGTGCAGGCTGCAGGAAAGGTTAAGAACCACTGGCTTAAATTAACTCCTGTGCTCATTGCGTCCAGCAGCTTCCAAACCACTGCAAGTGGTTTGCGCAGGACAATACGGCAGATCAAGTGAACATCTTTGGCGCGAATTAAAAAAAATCTTGTACCAAAATTGTTTTGGACTTGATTGTAAGATTTCAGAGAGAGAGAGAGTGGGAGGGAGTAAAGGTGGTCTGTTGCTGCTGCGCGTTGAGCAGAGGGAAGGAGGTTCCGCTGGTGTCGGAGTCAGTGTTGGTTGATGCTTTCGTGCAAATCGAAGAGGGGAGGGGAGGGTGGTGGTTGAAGTGCGTAATAGAAAAAAATGGCCCAATAAAAAAATATTGGGGTAGGGGGGCAAATATAAATACAAATAAATAACAAAACACGGAGAAAAAAAAATGGGCGTAAGGTTAGCTAGACACGTCGACTGTTTGGAACCGAACAACGCGCCATTATATCCTCGGAACATTTGGTTCCGTGAGCGGTAATTTAAAACTCGAGCTGACTTGTCATTGGCTTTAGTTCTACATCACGAGAGTGGGGCATGTTTCATTGTCAACCGGCTTCAAGGGACCTGTTAGTCTCAGATTTAACAGCAAAAGACGTAAATTTAAACTTTTTACTATTCAACATTTTTTTATTATTATTAAATGGTTTCAAACTCTTTTTAGGCCCCCGTAAAGTCATTTCCGGAACATGTGGGCATTACCTCGTAGCTGCGGAGAAAACTTTTACAAAGTCATTTTGCTTGCGCTTACTGGAAAGGAAATTCATTGCTTTGGCTGGGATTACCCCTAAACATTGATTGTAAAGAATATAAATAATAAAATTACATCACATCGTAACATTCCTCTTCTGCTGATTCATTTCAAATGTTTTTTGCACAATTTTGGTCAACCCGTGCACCCATGCGTACAACACGAGTTTGTGTTGCATGTAGTAATAACGGTGATGAAAAACAATGTAGTAGAGACGGGTGGGGCGGTGGCACAGTAGTTGTGCACCAGGGTCGTGCGGTCAGGGGAGGCAGGGGAGGCAGAGCCTCACCTGTCATGCTCCAATGTTACGAAAAGTAAAAAAAAATAATCAAATTAATAACTAATAAGATTTTCCCACTGATTTGTGTTATAAATGTCATTTTTATACGATTCCAATCAGTCAAAATCGCCAAATTTGCGGAGCTCCGCTGCAAATACAGGAAGAGACGAGAGGTGAGGCAGCGACGAGCTCAGCCTCCCCTCTGATTGCGCAACCCCTCAGTAACTGGATGGAGCGCGGGCAATAAGCGCGTGCCTGTTATTATCTCAGTATGTCACCAATGTAATGTTTGTAGACCCCTTCATTTCATGTCCTCGCCTTCCATACTCCAGGTAACTTATTTCACGTATGTGTATAAGATATTTAGGCTCGCTGGTCTCGTCATGAAACTGCAATGTAAAAGCACCAGGGGAGGCAGCTGTCACATCTGCCTCACTGACGGGGACGTGTCTAACACGCCCCCCTCACTGAGGCCACGCACCCCTCAGTGTGTGAATCTGGCTCTGACACGAGCCAGCGCCTCCCCAGCCATTGACCTCACCGCACGTCACTGTTGTGTACGCTGTGCCGCACTACGAACCATAATAATAAAAAAAAACTCCTATCCAAGGTCCTGCCCTGGCTCCTCCCCCCTCAACCAGTATATATACGGGGTCGGATCTCTTGGAATTTCTCATTTACTTGATACAGCGAGCGTGCTGTGACGGTTCCACCTGAAGACGGACGCTTGTGTTGCCTCCGAAACGTCGTGATTTTTATTTTATTTTTATTTTAATATATATTTTTTTCCTACGTGACTTTACCGAAAAAGCCCCAAAAATATGAATCCTTGCAGTCACGAAAGCTTCAAATCTAGAACTCGTAATCCGAGTTCGATTCCAGCTGTGGCTCGCATGAGTGGGACCGGTTCTGCCTTCCCACTGCCGTTCCTAAGCCCCACCGACCGGTTTGGTGAAGTATGGTAACAATAAAATACTCCGGTATTCATACACGAACAAGGTTGTAATAATATAGCATGGAAATATTAGTGGGGGGGGGAGGTTGTGGTGTGGTGATTTGTGCATTGTGTCCTGGGACATGGCAACCTGAGTTCGATTCCTCAAGGCTGACATCAGTTGGCGAGTGATATCAGAACTGGTTCGCTGCACCACTCCCCCTTCAGCAAGCCATGATCACCAAAACAATGAAGTATGCTCAAACACCCCCCCCCCCACCACCCAATGGATGACAGGGCATGGTCATCATCCAGCAGTGGATTGACAAAATGGCTGTAAAAGGCATCGTTTTACTCTCAAAGTAATAGCAGCCTGGGAAAATGCCAATATTAATAAAACGTTGACAATCTGCCATGGTGGCATTTCTACTGGCGTTCTTTCCTCCGCAAACCATTGCCTTGTAAATATCAGCAAAGGTCATCTTCAAAGTGTCCCCAGTAATTACCAAAGGGGGCCCTATCGTAACCACCGAGCGATATTATCGCTAACCTCTTGTGAAGGGTTTCCCCCACTCTGTAAGAAACAAGTGTTTTGTGACATGTTATTTACTCCGTTAAATCGCTTTAATGTGACCGCCTTGAAACACAATTTTGCTGTGACCTTGCATCCCGTGTCCTTTCACCCACATACACTCCTCGCCGAGACATTAATTATGTCTCTCCCTCCCCATCGTGTTGTTGGAAAAGAACAAAACAAATATTTTCTGATGTATGTTGAACTTCTTTCGCGCCGTACGTAGCCAACCGCACTCATCTGAGGTGCGGTGGGAAGGATAACAAACTGAACACAAAGGCAGTTCTAAAAAAATAGTTTTCAATCTAGATTTAAAATTGTGTACAGCTTCAGTGGCTTCATAATATTGGAAGGAAGCGTCTTCCACATGGCTGCAGAAGCGTGATGCAGTGACCATCTTTGTTTGATGGCTAGCCAAAAGGAAAAAGTTTATGCTAAATTATAAATTCGCATTCAGTTGATATACAGTACACAAAACTATGAAAGTATTTTTTTTTATCTTACTAGGTAAGGCCCACTGAGCTATATAGCTGTTTTTGAGAAGCGACCTGGCCACGAATGATCGCTCCAACGAAGTGGCTTTGTCAAGTGGCTATTTATAGCAGCCAAATACTCTTAAACGCATGATGCTGAATTTGGAGGAAAAAAACGGGAGGAAAATCCACACGACCATAGGGAGAACATGAAAATATACAAGGGCCCTCAGGGTTTGGATTGAACCCACAACCTCCTGCATACCAGGTGAAGTAGTTAACATACTGCTGTTGCGGCACCCTATGAAGCTACAGTAAATATGTAACGGAAGCGGTTTTAAGATATATATTGTTAAATTGCCAATGATCCAATAAACGTGAATATAGCCAATCTCTCAAAGATTTTGGAAGTTATCAGGGTTGAGTTAACACGTAAGTGCTCACCACCTTCAACAGCACAGTACTTCACTGTAATATGAATCCCGTTAACTTAAGTTCGATTCCTGGCCACAGTTGGCATCAATTTGAGGGCAAGTTATAGTGTCTGTTGCCGCTTCAGGGTCTTTGCCCTCACCAACCCAGTACAGTGATGTATGGCCAAACAGCCTCCACGACATTCGTCCAGCAGTAAGTTGACAAAGGGTTGAAAGCTATTATTTCTTAATCATTTGATAAATATTTGTGGTAGACAGCTTGATAGATACATTATACACTCAGATGAAAATGAAAGTTTACATCTAAGACACCGATAATACGATTAAAATCTTTCAAAAAGTGTATCTCTGCTTGAACTACCGAGGGATGATTTTCCATCGGGAAAATATATAATCGGTGACGCTTCTGGCATTTGACCCTTTTTCAGAGCACAAAAACGAGCAATTATAATAGGCACGTAACGACTATTTTTTTTTACTGATTCTCACACTCACAGCACATGGATGCATTGATGTGCACGCGAAATATAGTTCTCGAGAACTTGTGGCAAATCGCATGTACATTCAATACGAACGGGACATCTAGGTTTATAGAGCGAAACGAGCTTAATCAACCAAGCCACAATTTAAACGACACAACAAAAATCATCCGATTCTTGATTTGAATCATATGACCACAAATTTAAACTATTCATGCAATCACGAGGCAGTGAATTAAAGCCCTGCCTTCCGTTGCCCGAACAAGTCGTGGAAATTCCACGTTTCCTGTGTCAGAGGCCGGGTCAATCCAGAGGACAACGACCAATGACTTTGCACAGCGTGGCGCTCGCTTTATCGACCCGGAGCGGACAAAGAGCTGCGATTGCAACGATCAATTTTTCACACGATCGTTTCTTTTTTAAAGCAGTGCTCATAGATTGCTGATCCCTCCTCCCCCACCTCCCACCCCGGCCCTGGCTCTCATCCTCCCCCCCGTACCCCCCCCCCCATCCCCCCCGCTATGCAGGCGTCTACAAACTGAGCTGCCGCGATAACCCACTGGTGATTCCCGTGGGACTCGGGGTGACCGGACGAGCGGGCAGGAGGCGTCGCCGGGCCAAGGCGGTGCTGCTGCACGTGTCCTCGCGTCTCGTCGCTGTGTCCGGCGTGGCGATGCGACCCGTGTCCCAGAAGCTCTCCTCCACCTCCTCCTCTTCCACCTCCTCCACCTCGTCTTCCACCTCCTCCTCCACCTCCGGGAGAGAGGACGAGGAACTGGCGCACATCTGCCCCGCCGGCGAAACGTACAGCCACAGCCTCAAGAGGTTGTGCCCCCCCCTCCCCCACTCCGTGTCTGATGAAGCTTAGTGTTGTCGTTGTTGTCCGAGAACAGTTGAGTCGATCAGCAGGTCTTGTGTGGTGGGGTAAAGTGTGGGTACTCCCTCCTCGTCACCCGGCTGCCTTCCGGCTTGCTTGTGGTTCCTCGTCATTATCTCTCTCGCTGTCCGAGAGTGAGTTAATACTGTGCGTTAAAAGTTTTAAATCATTTATTAGTGGTATTATTATTATTTCGATTTAAAGCTTTCGTGACTGCAGGGATTCATCTTCTTGGTTCTCCTCAGGTGAGGACGGCTGCTTGCGTTGTGGCCGAGACGTCGTGAGAATTATTTTATTATGTTTAATTTTTATTATATTATTACTTCCCTTCTACGTGACTTTACCGGAAGAACCAAGAAGAGGTATTATTATTATTACGACAAGACTTCCGGCTGGTGTAGAAGGCCAGGCATTAGCCTAGCTGCAATTAATAAATGTAGGCCCCTTGTCAAATTTCTCACCCCCCCCCCCGCGCTTTTTGTAGCTCCACGCCTGGGCCCCTCCATCCCCGTAGACCCTGGTGCAGTTCAACTGCCTTCACACAGTAGCCATGCGTCCGATGGTTTAATTCGACTTGAAACAAATACTCAACCAAACTAAATATGGCCACTGGGAAAATTATATTCTGTTTAGGTCAATTAGCGTATAGTGGGTTGCCTATATTCAGAGAGTTGTGTCCTGGGGAAGGGAAAATAATATTACGAAGGACTGCATGCTAGGTGGGCAGAAAAAAATAAATGCATGCCTTACAACAGACACCTATTTGGCTGATGCTTTAGTTCATAGAGAGAGAGAGGCCAGACGGAGTTAATAATTATTGTTGGAGATTCCGTTATATTATATTTACTGTTACACTCTTTGCCTTGCATTGCTAGGACACATACCTATAATACCTGGCAGCTCACGAGCGTTGATTCAAGCAAGCCCGACTGCCGCTTCGGACGCTGTGTCGAAGCAGGTCAAGGGTTCGCTTCGAGTGCGTCAATGCTGCTGACATTACGCACTCCCAGAAGGCCGTGGGGCTGTTGGGTTGCGTAGAAAATACTTTCGTGTTGAATGCGGAGAGATAGATATCGCAGGAGATGTTTGTCTGCACGCTTAACTATTTTGTTTGTTCTATTTCTCAACGATCATACTCACTCTTTCGTAAATGCAGGAATCCATACTCTTTGGTTCTTTCAGGTAAAGTCACGTAGGTAGAAAAAAAACAATAATGATTTTTCTACCTACGTGACTTTAGATTTTTTGTTTATACCTACGTGACTTTACCGAAAGAACCAAAGAGTATGGATCATACTGACTTTTAATTAAATAATTCAATTGTCATGTTATAAGTACAACTCTGAATGCTTGTTTTTCTTTTAGATGTGTTGGGTATTTATCATCGAGAATGGGAATGCCTCTTTAAAATTTGGGACTTTTCCAAAAAAGGTCACATTCCAGAGTCTCAGTCTATGCGTGTCACCGTCGTTTTAAAAGTAAAAAGAAGGTTTTGTCATGAAATCATCTTTCATTTCAATACAAAGAAGGAAAGATTAATGTAGGAATATAGTTGGAGAATAATATGATATGGAGGGAGTTAAGTGGTGGTGCAGTGGTTAGCGCAGTTGTTGGCGCTCTGTGCGATGTCCCCTGTGCGTCTGGGTTTGATTCCTGGTCATGGCTATGAACGGTGATGAATTATATCAGAAGTGAGCTTGGGTCTGTCCCTTCACAAACCCAAACAGGACGAGCGTGGTGAAGTCTGGTAAAAGTAACTGCCATGACCAACATGGCATGGAGAAGCCTTCGTCCATCGGTGGATTGGCAGTGGTTGTAAATAATTATCATTGTCGTTTTTTTCCCTGAAAGAACACATTTTTTAAAAAGAGTTATTACATAAAAAGATAGGATGTGAACACTAAGCACCGTGTTACTTAGTATTACTTAAACCGTGGCTCAGATGAGGTTTGGCAGAAGTCTAAAAGCATTTACTGATTGTAATCCTTCTCATTAAAATAATACGCATAAAAAAACAAGCCGCCATATCGATTCACATTTCAATCCGAATAATGGCATTTCCTTTCCTCATCAAAAGCTCAGAAATGCCATCAGTAACACCGCGGGGCCACACGGTGGCATTTCCTTGAAATTCATTTCCTCGCGACCAACAATGGCATTGAATTTAGGACCCTGATTTATGGGCAGTTGATGCTCAGCAGGGACTCGGTGCGGGTTTGGGCCAGAAGGCGCTTTGGGTGCCCAAGGGGTGGCATGTTATTTACGATGCGCCGCCCCCCACCCCCCAACCCGTCTCCCTAGGAAAGCCACAAGTGTCACCAGATTTATGGTGCGCTTAATCGTTGAAGAAATACGGGAGCCTTATGTAACAGTCCGAGGCATCTCCCTCCACAGGGCCAGTGCGTGCTAACCCTTTTCGGGGAAGCTCAACGGTTTTACAATTATGTTAACAAGACACGACCGATTATCTTTATAGCCCCGGCTTGAATGGGGACACCATCCCGTTGAATGTGCGAATGAAAGACTCCGGTGCTGTTAATAAGCGCGTTGACTTAATATTAGAGCCGGGACATCCAATGATTTAAGTCACTGATTTACTTTGCCGATTTATCGCCTAAAATGCTCGACCAATCGGAAAACATGAAAATGGCGTGGTCCGTGCACAGAGCGAATGTGGTGAACAACTTTGCTCAGTGGAACGTCGAGCAAAACAACCATCTACTCGTAGTCACTCCCCCAGATAGAAAATGTCTTGAAATTCACTCCGCATCTCCACAAGTGCTTGACTGAATATCAAGACGTGTTAACGTCCTGTGAAATGTTTCCATTGCTTCATATGACATGGTCATCACCATTGTCATTGGATAACACAAAAACTGTTGGAGATTCACTGGTATAATGGGGGGTGGGGAGGGGGTCCCACCTTCAGGCGGCAGAATATTGGGATGGCCATCGTTTGTTAAGGGGCCCGAGCAATCAACCACAAAAAAAAGCAATCGATTACAATGTTTAGCCGATTTGTACATTGTCTCGACGATTGATTGACGAATCATCCCAGTGATACTTCGTGTCATTTTTAGGACCGATCACTCCCCCAATAAATGTTCCACCTCTTCACGTGAGAAGGCCACCTAACGAACCCACGCCCTCATTGTTTTTGCCCGTCTCCTGAAACGAAAACCAAACGGCGCCAGGTGCACCTTGCGACGAGTGCAGCACCTGCCTCCCGCTGCTGGTGGCTAACGGCACGGTGCGGTGCGAGGACGCCGGCAGCCGGTGCGAGGTCCTCTGCGGCAAGGGGCACGAAGCGAGTGTGGACGGACAACCCGCGGTGGACAAGAAGCAGGTGAGGGCCCGCCGTCGTCCCACGCAATCGAGCGTCACTTAAGCCCTTGCCGTTCCTGGTGACTGCACGCCGACCTCGTGATTTACGCGTCGCGTTCCTCCGCGGAAGGCAACGGGCGGTCTTCGCGACGCGGCTCAACGAAGAGTCCGTCGCGCCAGCGCGAGAGGGGGTCCGTCGCACTAGCGTAACTGGGATCTCTCTCTCTCTCTCCTGAGCTCGAACAACGAAGAGGGGGACTTTGCAATGGCGCGCCGAGGCCAAAGAAGGGTGCGTGCTCACAAGCAGATAGTCATAATAAAAGAAAACCACGTAATAAAGGCGCCCCTAGTAATTTGTCAGTGCGATATTTCTCAAGGGGCTAATCACTCCATCTGCCGCCCGCCCGCCCGCCGCTCGATTTAAATAAACACCGTCGGCCATGCCATAGTGTAAGAATATTGTGAACAGAATGAATAATTATCTGAAGGCATGTACAGCATTGGACAAAAGGGCTCTCACACGTGGCACGAGCTGCCAGGAGACGGAGTGTGTGTAACTTTAAAAATATGTTAGCCTTAAATATGTTCGTGCAACAATGGTAACAAAATACACGTGTTTGTTTTTTTTCCCATCTCTTAAGAGTAGCAAGGCTTGACTTAAAGCTTTCGTGACTGCAGGAATTAATATTCTTTGGGTCTTTCGGTAAAGTCACGTAGATGGTTCAAAGAAAATAACAAAAAAACTACGACGTTTCGATCACAGCACAAGCGATCGTCCTCCTTGTTATTTTCTTTGAACCCTCTACGTGACTTTACCGAAAGACCCAAAGAATATAGGAGCAAGGCTGTACAATTCAGTGGACGCTAAAAGCACTTACTCATACACAAAAAAATCAGAACATTGTGTTCCGCTTACATCCCCCCCCCCTCCTTCTTCTCTCTGACGTGTTCGGAGTCCACCTCAACCTCGGCCATCCGTAACCGCGCGCTAAGTTTTGTTATTTGTTCGCTTTTTGCATTTTTGTTGTTGTTGCTCGGAATAATGTATGGGCACGCGTTGTTCCTCGGTGCAATTACGCATTGTCGGGGAGGGGGGGGGGGGTGTGCCCTGCGGCAGGAGGGATGGAGAGATGATAAAACCCTGGTCATTGAAGCGAGCGAAAAAAAAACCCCATCGCAGCCGAAGCTCGAACCTGTCAATTTAGCTCGATCTTGAGCGCGAAGATACAGGAGCGGCGAGGTATGCGCGCGTTTGTTGTGCGCCGATAAGGCGATTCTGCAACCGGTTGTTATTTCTACCCCAGGTAAGGAGAGCGAGAGAGCCGCGAATGAATGGCCACGGTAGTAGTGACCGGTGGCACTTGTTGTTTTTTTTTACGTGCGCCTCTGGCCGAGTCATCCGTGACATTATGAAGCAAAGGCAGGCTGGCGACGATTTGCCTCTCTCGCAAGAAGCGAAGTCAGCTCCACGACTTTCCGAGTGCGCTGTCGAAATGGGACGGGGGCGTGCGGGGTGCGTGGTTTTGTCTGTGTGTGAGTGTGGGGAGCGCTGGCGTGGTGGTAGTTGGCGCTCTGCACGATGAATGAACCCGCGTAACCGAGTTGAATTGCCGCTCACGGTCAGTCACCGTGGCGGATATTTATGCCGGTCGTGGGCCTCCCCTAGGTGAACTCAGCCTTAAATCGTTAACCGGGTGCGGTGTGTAAACGTCATGCACTGGGGAGATAAAGGCGGCCGGGCGTGGTGTTTAGCCGCCCATACCGGCCTTCATAGGTGCTTGCGAACTGCACTTGGCTCAAAAGTCTGTTGAAGTCTTTATGGGGGGGTGGTCTTTGTCTGTGCGTAGGATAGTGGCCTTTCAGTTCGTAGCACAGAGCACGGTACGGTGTGTTAACAGCAGCACCTGGGGATACAAAGGTGGTCGGGTGCAGTCCCGGCCACTCCACGCACCCACCCACCCTCGTGCGCCACAGCACTTGCCCCAATAGGCTGTTGTGGGCTATACGGGGTATCTTTGTCTTTGTATGAGAGTTGGGGGGGAGTGTTCTTTCAGCGGACAACACACTACAGAAAAAAAACCCTGACCTCATTTCACTTCTTAGACCACGGATGTTATTAGTGACAAGTGGTATCAGAAACTGTCCTGTTACCAGTCCTATGTTGGATGAACTTTAAATTAATATCTGGGGAGACAAAGACGGCTGTACGTGGCGCTGGCCACATTGTTTTCTTGAGCGACGTGCCGGCCTTAATAGGCGCTCGCAAACATAACTTTTCCCAGCTGTTTATTGGGGTATAAGGGAGGGGATCTTTCGTCTTTGTTTTTGTGTGCGGGTAAGATAGGGTAGGTAAATATGTTTTGAGAAATGTTTAAAAACTAAACAAACCCCTCTGTTTAACTGCAAGTTTACCAATTTTATAATTGAATAAGTGTGTTTACGTTCAGGGTTATTATGCAGAGAGACAGAATAATAATGGTGATTATCTGCATACTTTTAATATCCCATTGTCAAACGTTTTCCTTGCTACGTGTAAACACAGGCAGTTCTGTGCACTCATAAACACGAGGCCCATACCTCTAACCACACACACACCACCTATCACAACAACTGCGCCACGGCATTATTGATTACCCCGTGGACTGATTCACGCCTCACCCCCTGCAGAGATGTGATGACTTGTAACAATTCAGGGTGCCGATTAGAATCAAGGATGGATTCTTTTCTGTTTTTGTTTGTGTGTGCGTGTGTCTTATTCGTATTGTCGTTTGATCATTCTGGCTCCACTGGTACAGTTTCGTTCGCACCGCGACGCGAAATGTGCCGTGCGCTTTGACGTGAATTGCAAAATAATTGGAGTGATTGGAGGTGCTATTTAATCACAGTTTTGTGAGAGTAAGAATATAAAAAAATTTCCCGTAGATATATTTGCAGTTTTCATGCCTTAACACTGATACAGCTATGCGGTAACAGCGCGCCGAGGTGTTTTCGAGTCGGCTACCGCGTGTCGTGTCGGCACGATGTCCGACGTTTCGCGCCACGTGCTTGGGAGCTTCTTCACGAGCGTCGAACACCGGGAGGCCAAATAACACGAGGTACGAAGGAGGCGTGACGGAATCGCGTAGGAGTGTGTAGGCCTTTGTTACAAACGCCGCCCCTCCTCCAATCAGCATCAGGTGGGAGTGGCCTGCGTGGCGGGCCGATGGAATAAGCGCGTTGCCTGCCTGCCCGTCGATTGCGGTGTCCCGAGATCGCACCTCGTGTACCACGCCGACTTCAGCTACCCCCACGGGACGAGCTACGGTGCCCGCAGCACCTTCGTCTGCCGCCCACCCGCCATACTGCAAGGTGACCCGTCTGGCAATCTCTTACTTCTCATCGATCATCGTCGTCATCGATGTTCAGCCATGGTCAATGCACTGCTGGATGAAGGCCTCCCAACAAAACGGAGGCTCAGTTTGTTTCTTGAAAAGTTTGATGCGCTTGGAAAATGCGGTGAACCATAATTGTAACTCTCAGATGGTCCTGAATATTTGATTAATCGGCACCCCCCATTCCCCATGGATGCCAGATAACAGATCTTTTGCTGCATACATAACAATGCAAGTGTAAAATACAATCTTAATTTTGGAGCTTTCGCGACTGCAGGAATTATTATTTAGTTATTTCGGTAAAGTCAGGTATAAAGATAAAATAATAAATTAAATAATAGCATACGACGTTTCGATTGCAACACAAGCAATCATCATCAGGTATAAATGAAATAGCAACAAAAAATCTAACCAGAAAACTATAGACAGACATATAAGCAGACATATATCAGCAAGATATATAGAGTAACACAGGTACAGAGAGGGAGATCGTCTCTGTGGGGTGGCCTTAAATAGACAGAGGGGGCGGATGCAGAGAGAGGGAGGGGTTAGAGAAAAAATTTACATGTCAATGAGTACGAAGAACGCGTAGTAAAGTACGCAGGCTTGAACATTAGGAGAGAGGGAGAAAGAACACACTAACTTTACAAGACATTGTAACACCCATGCATTTCGCCACAGATATCCATACGTTTTTGCAGTTGTGTGGTCGTGGATTCGATCCCGACCCTGATGCCTGTTGTCTCTTTGGAGTTTGCATGTCTATCTCCCAGTGATCTCATGGATTTTGTGTTTAGATTATTCGGCTGCTGGAAATTTCCACGTGATGATACGCCACTTCGTTGGCTTTTGCCATCGTGTGAAATTTTGAAAAACAGCCAGATAGCTCAATGGACCTTACCTGGTAAAATAAATTAATAGTTGAATAAATTTCGATTTAAAGCTTTCGTGACTGCAGGGATTCATCTTCTTGGTTCTTTCGGTAAAGTCACGTAGAATGGAAATAATAAAATACTAAAAATAAAACATAATAAAATAATTCTCACGACGTTTCGGCCACAATCCAAGCAGCCGTCCTCAGGTGAAGAACAGGTCTGTCTTCTCGACAGAACCAAGAAGAATAGTTGAATAGTTTTAACACTATGACGAGGGGAGCACCGAGAACCACTGTCATTCCACCTCTGGCTTTAATCACCGCCACCACCGCCGCCGCCGCCGCAAACACGACCGCCGACGGCCGATTGTGACGCCGAACTTCTTTGCGTTTTTTCCTTTTGTCCTTCCGCCAGGTGCGAGCGCCGACCTGCGGTGCCAGGAGGACGGGCTGTGGTCCCTGCCGGAGGCGTACTGCCAGCTGACGTGCCGGGCCCCGCCGCCCATGCCCAACGCCGTGGCGCGCACCGACCGCTGCAAACACGACGGCCAGAAAGTCGGCTCCTCCTGCAAGTACCGTTGCAAGCCCGGATACCACGTGCTGCTTACCAGTCGCAAGTAAAGCCCGCTTCCACCCCTCCTGCTACCCCCGCCCCACCTTGCCCACCACCACCCCCCCATCACGGCGTTGGAACGCGAGCAGACGTGTGTGCTCGCAAACAGCGGAAAGGCGCGACTCCCACCGTGCCCTGACACGTCACGTGCACGTGTCAGGCCGTTCAACGCCCGGCGTCATCGTTCCAAATGTTGGCAAATTTTAAGGATTGGCTGTGTCACCACGTACATATATAATACACTTTTTTTTTACAAACATATCATGATTATTTTGCAGTCATAAATTTGCACATTTGTTTTCGTCACGTGACAAGTTTATTTATTGGCTGTATGGGGGCGGAGAAATGGTTTCCGACACGCATTTAGACATGCGGCGATTTGACCCATAAACAAATTATGAATCGAAATTGGACGCCAATGACCTCAATTGGGACTAAACATGTAGCAACATCTCCCCCCGCTGAGAAACTACTGTGGATTGTGCGTGTGCAACGCAGCAGCTCCTTCATTATAACCTGTGAGAATAGAGCGAATATCACATGTTCAAATTATTGTGATTATTATCATATGACCATGACACTGGAGTTGTGCCTTTATGCTGTTTGTGAGCACAGTTTTGCATGTTGTTGATTCTTTGTTTCCAGCCGACATGCATTTTATTTGTTTACTTTGTGATGTACAGCGCTTTGAGTACCTTGTAGAGAGGCGCTTTGTAAACGGAATTTATTGTTATCATTATTCGAATGTTTCTGTTTTTAAGCGTTTTCTCATAATGTACAGAAAGTATTTGATTTGAAGCCATGGAAATGTGTGCTGGATAAAGCGCCGGTTTAAAGTTGTAAAAACAAAAATTGTGTGGTTTAAACTCCTCTTTGGTGAAGGCACTCATTGTAAATCGAATTTTATCCACGAGCGAATGGTGCATTAACAAAAACATTGTACTTCAAGAGGCTCGGGAATTTTGACATTATTCACGTGTTTTTCATGTAATTTATTGTCCTTTCTGGGAAGAAAAAAACCCCCTAACATTATTTCGGATGCACGAGATATGTTTGCAGGCCAGTAGACACATGGTTATTATCCAACGCACGGAATGGGAAACAATTCCACAACCCGATAATTAAATCAACGTGTGTTACCATCAGGTCAACCTGTCCAGGACCATCATGACCTTACGTTTTACTCCGGGCCTAGGTGCACCGTGCCATGTCAGCGCAAATTGAAGGGATGTGAGCCTGTTCAGTGCAGTCATTTGCAACGTCACAGACACGAAATATGTATTGGATCACGAGCACGTTCGCTGCTTGTTCTTGCATAAGTTCACGGTTCGAAACCCGGCGGCCGCCCTGGTTATTAACACCGGTGTATTAACCGTAACGATACGCGCCGCCTGGTGCGCGGTGGACGTTAAAGATCCCGTGACCCCATTCGCGAGAGGGAGGCCATTATGTGCCGTCGTCAGTAAAACTCTTCCAAGGAACAGGTACTGTTGGTGACTGAACGCTGGCCACGGCGTCTGGCAGTGAGTGGAGTGGGCTTGAGAGCTGCAGAACAATAGACCGTGAAGCCGAATGTTCCAATCGATATGGAACTTCAGGTGGATTTTAGCGGGACGCGTTCACTCGCTTGCGGCTCAGACCTTGGCCTTGCTGCGGTGGTGAGATGTTACTCCCTCGCCTGGTATGCATGAGGTCGTGGGTTTGATCTCAACCCTGACACCTGCTGTATATCTTCTTGGTTCTTTCGGTAAAGTCACGTAGAAGGGAAGTAATAAAATAATAAAAATAAAACATAATAAAACAATTCTCACGACGTTTCGGCCACAACGCAAGCAGCCGTCCTCAGGTGAAAACCAGGTCCGTCGAGGCGACAGAGTCTGAATGAAACAGCACACGAGCTTGGAGCATATATATAAGCTGGGCGCATTGTCAAAGCTTATATATATGCTCCAAGCTCGTGTGCTGTTTCATTCAGACTCTGTCGCCTCGACGGACCTGGTTTTCACCTGAGGACGGCTGCTTGCGTTGTGGCCGAAACGTCGTGAGAATTGTTTTATTATGTTTTATTTTTATTATTTTATTACTTCCCTTCTACGTGACTTTACCGAAAGAACCAAGAAGATGAATCCCTGCAGTCACGAAAGCTTTAAATCGAAACCTGCTGTATATTTGGAGTTTGCGATGTCTCTCCCCGTACTCGCGTGGAATTTTCTCCAAATCCTCCGGTTTTTCCCCTCCACAATGAGAATCAGAGTATTTGACTGCAATTCATTTCCAAGCCACTTCGTTGAGCTGTCATTTGTGGATAGGTCACTTCTGAAAAAGAGCGATATAGCTCGGTGGACCTTACCTGGGAAAAAATAAAAAATGTTGGAACAGTTTATAGTTTTAGATGGCGGGCGCACGCGTGCACAGCCAACATGCTCGCAAATCCTTCCGCCCGCCTCTCTTCCCAGGGTGTTCAAGGTGAAGTGCACGGAGGAGGGCCACTGGGAGGAGGGCGGCTGCGTGCCCGTGCAGTGCCCTCCGCTGCCGCTGGTGCTGCACGGCTCCTACACGTGCACGCACCGCTTCCAGTTCGGCTCCCGCTGCTGGGTCAACTGCAGCACCGGAAACCCCAGCAAGGTCCCACCCACCTCGGACGCACAAACACAAATATCCACCCCCGCGTAGCCTCGACTGACTTTTTGGGGCTCGTGCTGTCAGCGAGTCGTGCCCATAAAGGTGCCGGCGCGGAAACACGAGGGGGTCGGTGGCCAGTACCGCGCACGGCCGCATCCGTATATCTTGTGGCGATGTTTACACACCGCACCAGACACTCGTGGCCTCAGGGAGGTCCAGGACCGGTTCAGATAATTATCAATGGCGTTGGCTGTGAGCAGGAATCAAACTCGGGTCGCTGGGTTTGTAGCGCAGCGCAGCGCACACACGCATACACACATTTACAAGTGACACGCACGCGCTCTGAATATGCACTAAGTTTGGGGGCTCTTTGATCGTTCAGTGCCTTCCCTGGACCTTTTTGCCACCACCCCATGACGATTCCTTAAGAATAACGCTTTAAATGCGGCACGAACTGCATGCTATGGTTTACCTGGGTTTGGAAACGTGGAATGCCGGCAAAAGAAAATGGAACAATAGTGGAAAAGTGCGCAGAGAAGCGTCGATGGGTGCGTGCAAAACGCAGGTTGGACGCACCATGATACCAGCGGAGAGCAGCACGTGGTCTTGGGCAGGGCGAGATTCATGACGGAGTGGCAGCCAGGTGAGGAACCTGGGGAGATGGAGCGACTAAAGCAGTTCGTGTGTACGGGTACTAGATGGATTGCTACATTGCAATGACCAAGGGCGATGATGAAGGCTTGTGGAGGCCTTCATCCAGCATTGAATTGACTGAAGATGATGATCAATGCATATTCATATCATATTTGGGTATTGCCAAACTCATGATGTTCATTAGATGCCTCGTTGCATTTCTATTGGCAAACGCAAGTGATGTTGCTCATGACCTGACAAGCGTGCGTGCGTGTGTGCGTGCGTGTGTGTGTGTGCGCGTGTACGTTTCTGTCACTGGACCAGCAGGGCCACAAAGTGATCGAGTGCAGAAAGAACGGACGCTGGAGTGGTGAACTGCAGCTGTGCCCGCACGTGCAGGGCGAATGCACCACCCCGGACCCTCCGTTCATCATCGAATTCGACTGCCCTACTGGATATGGAATAGGTAACAGCATAGCTGGCTTCTATTTATTTTTTGTTAAGTATTAATAGGGTTATGGGGTAGTGGTACGTGGTATACACGCCCTGACTGGATATATGTGAAAAAGAGCTTCATAGCTCATCGGATTCTTCCAGTATAAAATGAATATTCTGATTCTGTGTGTGTGTGTGTATATAGTGGGGTGGTACTGGCCACCACTCAGTCTCTCCGCTCAGAAGAAGGGCCATTGGACCATTGCCCAGACATCTCAGTCTCTTGTACATATTTTTTTTCCCGTTGTAAGGCAGCGGTAATTAGGAAAGTGGGGAGAGTAGATTTAGAAACTGTTACCCTCGCAATCGCTGCAGCTGCCAATCTCAGTACTCTATCCGTTGAGCTCACGAAGCGATCTAATCTTTGGCTGCCCCACGGCAATCGTCCCGAATCTCTGCCGCCAGACCGCACTCCGTGACACTTATAATTTCATGCGGAAAAACATTTAATTTTAGCGGGCGGAAAGCGGTGCAGAGTTACACCACTATTGTAACCCCATTGTCCAAGTGAGTCAGATACACAAATGCTTAATTCATCTCACGTGAATGTTTTTCAGTGGGGAAACATCGCATCATCACGTGGGTGGGTTTGACCTTGTTGTTTTTGAGTAGAACGAGGGTAGCCAAGGCCATGCCCTGAATATCTGTCAACGTAGCCTGCATTGGGTCCAAGAGGCAGCGTTGAACTCTGAAAAAGTAAAACGCCGCACTTCAGCTTCTAGACGCCGTACCCTCTGTGAGAATATAAGAATAGGTTTTACCCTTTTTGGCAATAAAACAGTTGCGTTAAGCTGTTAAAACACCAAACAGAAACCTTTTGCAAGGAATCCCGTCTGCATTAACCACATTTCCTTGTGGTGAACATTCAAACAAAAAACACATGCGCTCATAACACATGGCATTGTCTTTGCAACCGATTGGTCCACACCAGAGACAACTTTCTTTAGAGCCTCGTCTCAAAACAGTGTTAGACCGGAGAACGCCAGAAGGCGAGCGGCACAAAGACAGTGCCCACTATCATGGAATTTATAGCTCGCGGTGAGCAGCAGCACAATGTGGGACCTCTCTTGCCAGTGTCAAAATATAAGAATAGGTTTTACCCTTTCTGGCAATTAAACAGTTGTGTTCAGATGGAAACCTTTTGGAATGCCGTGCTCTCTTCTGCACCTGTGGGAAGGTGAAACGGTGCCAACCTTGCCATGTCTTGCTCAAGCCACCGCTGAACGAAGGGACCTCCTTTAGAGGAAGCTTTAGCGACACTCGGTCGAGGGTATGTTGGTCTACTCTTCCACGTCTTGGAAGAGGTGGGAATTACTCGTACTCTACCTTGCTGCACGAGACCTGCCGGTCGACAAACTGCGGCGTATCTATGTATACTTCTGGGTGGACGGAGGTGGGTGGGGGTGGGATTTAATGAACTTTCCTTCGTTGATGCGACTAGCGACCCATTGCATTCCAAGTCCAGTTGTGTTGTTTCTGTACATTTTTGGAAGAAAAAAAATAATTATCCAGTGGCTGCTCTATACGTTTACAGACAAGTTTATTAATTGGATTCTATATTTTTATTTGAAATAACAGTGCACCCATCAAGGAAACGGTGCCAAACAGAGTCGTAGCAATGTGGTCGCCAAACCGCAAATATAATTATATTTAGGAATGTTTTCACAAAATAATTATTATTTTAGTGAAAGCAATAATCATTTTCCTCGGAAGAACGTGCTGCCAAACATCAATACATTTCTTATTAAAGTCGTAACAATTATGATTATTTCAGTCGTATCATTGTGCAGCCAAACCACAATATAACATTTATTTGAAGACGAGACGAGTTGAATATTGTACGCAGGAACGCTTTAGATCAGGGAACAAAGTGGCAACCTTATATTGAGGTCTTACCACATATCTACTCGTATGTATGACATGCTGACAAACCGGCGCATTGCATCATTGACTTTCTTCTGCTGGTATTCCTTCGCTAATAGGCCATGGTGCCAGAGCTGAAGTCGGTAACGTCTAAGATATCAAAACATTATAATTATCAGTGCCGATTTATTGATATGACTCATTTCTAGTGGACATCTGTGTGAAAGAGCTCATCGGATTCCTCCATCTGGATAAAGATTCAGATTTCACAGAGTTATCACGCGATTCACTGTTTATTGGCCACATCAAGAAATTGCTACCCGCTAAAGTAGTGCCATCTCAGGTGGTGCCAGCAAGTGAAACATCATCTGGGTCTGAGCTCGTGGACTACATCTGTATGTGCGTGTATGCTGAACTTCTTTCACACCGTACGTAGCCAACTGTGCGAATCGGAGGGTAACAAACTAAAGCACAAGAAAGCAAGTTGGAAAGAAATGAGTTTTCGATCGAGATTAATAAAAATCCAGACTATGAAGAAATGTACCCACATGTGACATTCTTGGCAAATGTTTAGTCGCCGGGAAGAAAAACATACCTGTCATGACTAGAAGGGCAACATCATGACGATTCGAAAGTAAAGAATGTGCTGAACCGTTTCGTGTGCCAGGCGGCGACTTGTGCGTCCGCAACGTCGTCATCGAGAAGGTTAAGCACCTCGTCCACGGTTCGAACTTTCCGTGGGGATCACCGTTGGCAGCTGTTTACTAAAATTATCTGGTGACATTTCCAGTGACATGGAAAGCGCTTTCTGCAACCATGTCCTTCCAAGCGGTGCATCAAGGGGGTGGGGGAGGGGAGGGGAGGAGGGGGCAGAAGGGATAGCCCCCCCCCCACCACCCAACCAACCAAATAAATATAGTTTTATTGACCATTTCATAGACAATATTTGAGATGTGTCATGATTGTAAAATGCATTATAAAGTATCCTGGATATATATTAACATTTGCATTGAATATTTTTTGTTTTCTATTTTAATCCAGTAATGCGTGTTTTATCCAAAACTAAAACCGACTCATGAGCAGTTATTTCTGTACTCAGTACTTTTGGTAGGAAACGAATTTGCCCACTGCCAAAGACAAAGATCCCCCGTATAGCTTTAACAGACTCTTGGGTCAAGTGCTGTTGACGAGCAGCGATGAAGGCCGGCATGGTGCACGAGAGGGTGAGTGGCCAGTTCCATGTCCGGCTGTCTTTGTCTCCACAGTGCTAATGCTTATACACCACACCTCATTTGAGGCTGAGTTGACCTAGGAATGGCCCAGCATCATCACTCATGTTAGCCATAAGCAGCCCGCTAACCACTGTGTTTCACTACTTCCACTGCAACCATTGCCATCCATTGCCACATAGCCCTGCTTCCTAAATCATAACAGCTCTCATCATTATTAAAAACGTATTGTATTAAAGAAAATCTAACTGCTTTCATACATATGCATAGGATGCTGCCGTGGTGAAATGGTCAGCACATTGAACTTGCAGTACAAAGATCGGTAGTTCGTTTCGATCTCTTGGCGAGGCAGTTTAAACAAAATTGTGCAAATATTTATTAAATCCACTCGCCTCTCTCCGACGGACGTTAGGAATAAATAGGTGTACAACATTTTAGTCGAACGGCAGGTTGCATGCGGTGGGGTAAAGTGTGCGCACTCCCTACCTCTTCCCAGACGTCTGGCCAGTGTGGAAGAGAAGGCCAATACCTTCTGAAGGGGTCATCTAGAGCTTTGTCTCGTGGAGGCCCATCCGCCAGCATCGGTGTGAGCCAGCAATTGCAGGGCTGCACCTTCACCTGTCACGTAGACACGACTGCGAGTGTTTCTATCCCGCGATGGTTTCGCTTTTAGCTCTGTGTGTGTGTGATGGAGCTGGCGTGGGGAGCGACAGTGCAGCGGTTGGCGTGCTGCGGGACAAACCCGGTGACCCCTGAGTTTGATTCCCGCTCGTGCGCCAACAGGAGTGATGATCCCCTAGGTGTGCTGCACTTACGAACCTTGTGACCCGAGTTCGATTTTCACACAAGGCCAACACCAGTGGTGATTTTCTGAACCGGTTCTGGGCCTCTCCTAGGTCGCCTCGGCCTCAATTGAGCACCTGGTGCGGTGTGTAAACATCGCCACTGGGGGAGACAAAGGCGGCCGGGCGTGGTGCTGGCCCCCCCACCCCCTCGTGTGTCATGTCAGCCTTCATAGGTGCTCACTAACAGCACTTGCCCCAACAGTCTTTGAAGGCTATACTGGGGATCTTTGTCTTTGTGGGTGTATATGTGGTGCCGGTCGTGCTGGCCTTCCATGCCATTACGGTTTACCCGGTGCCAAATGTTTGAAATCGAGCAGCAGTTTGCGGGAGCGTGGAGGTTGTGGGAGTTTGGTTAGTGAGCATCTCTGCAAGCCCAAGGCCAAATGCCGCATGCCATCTGTCTCGTGACTGGCACTCATCGCTGGCAATCGTTCAGTAGAGGCACTTGCATAGAATGAAAAAAATGGTTTTATCATTGTTATTATGTGCTCGTCTGCTTTATAAAATACTTGGGGACATGTCGATGGCCTGATCCCAGACAGATCATACATTGGGGTTTTAATGCATTGCATGTGTAGTGAGTCCAACTGAACTGCAGACGTTGTCTTGGGAGCAACACTATTTATTCAATAAATCAACATAACATAACACAACCTACACTTGGGTGTTGAATGCTCATATAGCCATGCTACGGCAGAACTAGACACGGTTCGCTATCCCGGCCCGGACCACAAGCTGGGTCGCGGACCGGGTGGCTAGAGGCTTCTTTTACCCGACGTGGATCTTCATCGCCAGCAACACGAAGAACCCCGAGCCCCTCATGGGGCCCCGTTATATCAGCCTGGGCTGGGGCTGGCTACGCCCCTCGCCCCGCCCACCTTCTAGATCTCTCGAGCTCTTTCTCAAAGGCTCACTGAGAGCTTAATTTTAGAACTTTCGTGACTGCAGGAATTATTATTTGGTTCTTTCGGTTAAGTCACATCTAAAGATAAAATAATAAATAAAATTAAATAATAGCATACGACGTTTCGATT